GGCCCTGGGTTCGATTCCTCAGCACCACATAAGCAAAAAGAAAAAAGCCGGAAGTGGCGCTGTGGCTCAAGTGGTAGAGTGTTAGCCTTGAGCTGGAGAGCTGAGGGATAGCGCCCAGGCCCAGAGTTCAGGCCCCACGACCAGACCCAAAAAAAAAAAAAAGAATGTGGTCTCCCATGAACTTCCCAAGTATTAGACCATTTGAATAAATGATGCATTTTTGAATGCTTTGCAAGTCTCTGACAAGATAAGCCCTGCATTAGTAGAAGCAAGGAGAAATGGAGACCACCTGGAAGGTGTAAAGATCCATGTCACTTTCCTAGTAACAGAGTGTCATCAAAGCCACCATGAGGGCCTTTTGCCAGCTCTGATCACCCACAGGAATGCTCAGGCCCAGAGCTGGCTGGGTGGGTGGTGATGGTGGTAGTGGTGGTGATAGATAATGTTAGCGAACCCTGCAGGATTACAAATACCCATGCCATGCATGGCCTGCTTGTAAGGAAAGGGGAGCTCCGTACCAGCTTTCGGATCCTCTCTAGCACAAGATTGATGACCTCTGAGCCCACAGAGTAGTGACCTCGTGCGTAGTTGTTTGCAGCATCCTCCTTTCCGTTAACCAGCTGTTCTGGGTGGAAGAGTGAACGGTACTTTCCCACTCGGATCCCATCTGCAGAGGGAGAGAGATCAGTGCATGCATTCGGTGCTACTGTTGGCCCTCATTAAACCTCACAGGACTTCATACTCTGCTTCCTCTTCTTTCTCCCATCATGATGGTAAGATATTGGGATTTATATTGCAAAATTAGCCTCTCTTAATCTAAGAAAAGGTAGAATTCTTTACATGTAAATTGAAAGTGTGCTTTGTTACCACCCATCTTGTATTAGGTTCCTACAGCTGCTAAAACAAATGTGATGGCTGAAAACTACAGAAATTTGAGCTGAATTTGAGAGTAATTATTAAAGAACAGACGGCTAATATACAATAGCAACCCCAAACTTAACTATCTCTCTAGCTTTTGTCTCATCAGTAAAACCTCCTTTCTCTTTCCAGTATTTTTGGAGCTGGATTTAAAGAGAATTGACCCAGAATGTCACAGAGTCTGCCACTAATAATCATAAAAATCTTATTGATTTCCCCATAATTTGTAGATTTATTCGGTGTTTTCTGTCTTTTGAATGCTTTTCAAACATTCTTCACTTTATAATTCTTTATGACAAACTTTCACATTCTTTCTCAATAGTTTCTAAGTACTGGCTCTCAGACTCAGAAAAAGGTTTAGTGTTTCGTCATAACATATGTGTACATAAATTAACATGGTTTAATTACTTTCATCACACAGGAGAAGAAAGCTAACCAAGTCTAACTTTTGGGTATGTTTGTCATGCTATTCACCCAAAATACCCACTGAATGAGGCTCTAACTATGGAAAAGATTCATATGATCTTGTACAGACAATCTCATTAATTCCACCCACTTGATCTGCTTGATTGTAGATCCTGTTAAGTGTATTAGAACATCAAATCTGTGTTACCTATAACAGTTGGTTCTAAGTCCACGAAGAGTGCTCTGGGCATATGCTTGCCAGTGCTTGTCTCATGAAAGAAGCTATCAGAAGAAGAATTCCCAAGGTCCATGTGAGCATTTTCCAAGGAATCCTGCTTACTGTCAACAAAGCCATCTGGCTGGATTCCATGCTCCAAGCAATAGAGTTCCCAACAAGCATCCCCAATCTGGACACCAGCTTGACCAATGTGAATGGAAAGGCACTCTCTCTGAAAGAAGCCATAATCACTTAGGACTGGGAAGGCTTAGGTCAGTTGATTAGACAACAACAAGAGTAGTATCAATCAGCACTTCTGGCTATAAATGATAAGAGACTAAGCTAACTACACCCGTAAAAGAAATGTATTATAAAGATTTTAAAAAGTGTCCCATGGAATCCAAAATCCAGGGTACAAAGACAACTGAACCAAAGGCTCAAATTCCATTAAAAAGTTTCAACAACATAAACGAGGCATCTATTGTATACTGGGCTAAGAACTGAGTTAAAATTATATGTATAGTCTTTTGTAATCTGTATATACATGTGTATAAGGCAGAGAGAGAGAATGAGAGAGGGAAAGAGAGAAGGGTATATTTCTTTCACTCAGAAAAAAAAGTTATGGGAAAAATGAATCTATAATCCTATCGGACACTAGAGCTGATTATTATTGTGAAATTTTTCATTTACTATTAGTATATTTTAAGCACACAAACAGTAGAAAACATTCAAAGGAGAGGGAGGCTGGGAAGGGATGTGAAGGGTAAACCAAAGGAGGAGGCTGCAATGCTTGGTAAGAAATGTATGCATTATCCTGTCCATGTAATTGTAACCCCTCTGTACAGTATGTTCACAAATAAAAAATAAATAAATAAAAGAATTTTTTACACACAAAAAAAAGAAAACATTCAAAGGAGAAAGGCAGCCCTAAAATGTAAAAATTCTATGCTGACAAATTGATGGGTATAAAAATGTATTAGACAATGGACCATGAAGAAATCTATTTTATGTAGATCAGCATTATTTCAAAAATGCTTGTAATAGCCACTAGACAAATAGGCAAATAGTGCAAATAAATAAAGCACCTGAAATATGAAGATTTAGGTATAATTCTTTGCATTTATAAGAGTAAAAACTAAGAACTGATCTGCTTAATCTACTTAGCCATTGAACCACTGTTAGACATTTGTTTAAAGGTCTACATACTTCAATCCAAGATAATGTTATATAATCCTTAAATGCTTACCAGAGGGAGACAGACAGACTTATAATGTGGATAATGTCCATAATAAAAAAATTTCAGTAGAAATAATGTAAGATGTGTAATTATGTAGAGAGTATTTGGTCCAATAGTTTTTAAATAGGCATAGGAAAACTCTAAAAAATGCAAAGTTAGATGCAAGTGAGATGTGGATTGCAACTATTTTTTTTATCTAAAATTACTCCTTCCTTCTGCCCTCACCAACTTCCACTATCCTCCACTTTTAAATCACTTTTTTGAAAATATGCAAACAACTTTTTAGTAAATTAAATGAACACAATGATCTCCTTTTTTAATTTAAATTTTATTTTCTTGTGGAGATGGTGTGCATAGAAGTTAGTCACATGAGTAAAGTAGTGAGTACATTTCTTGTCAAGCACTGTTACCCCCTCCTTGGTTTTTCTCCCACTATCCCTTCCCTCCCCTAAGAAAGAGAAACCAGAGGTTAAATTCTGGACATTTAAAATGACAGCAGTTGCTGACTTTGCACCAAGCTTACATGCAGTCTATACTTGTCCACAATTGCACTGTCTGAGCCTGAACAGAAGGACCCAGAGCTTTCTGCCAGCCCTGAGAGGACAGCCCAGACCAGCCGCACCCCTACAATACAACTTAAACTCTGTTCCTCATCATCATCATCAGCAAACCTTTGAACTTTGTCTGTGCATTTCTCAACACATAACATTGCCTTCTTCACCCTGTGGGAAAATTCAAGTTCAGGACTTAGGAGATCTTCCATTGTGCTGCTTCTCTGTCAGTCTCTCATGGCAAAGGCTATGACTTAACTTTAAAAGCATTTTGCTAAGATCAATGAATACCCCTACCACTGTGTAGTATATAAGAATCAAAACAATATATTCCATTATATAACAGGCTTCACATGCTCTTATCTACGAAGCACAGTTTCTTTCCCCTCCCCTCCTGTTAGACTTTGAAAGTTGTAAAGGCACGAGCTACTCTAATCAGATCAAAACTTTGCTCCTTAAATTTAGATTTAAATTCAAAATGTGGAGGAGAAGGCCCACGGTTTCTGTGTTATTAAAACATCTTCACAGAAATATTGGGACAAATGGTGAACAACTGCAGCAGTAGTACTCACTAGACACTGTTGAAAATGAACTATACGACTTGTAGGTAGAGGTGTAGGTGATGTGAGGGGAAAAACTAGGAGAAAACAAGGGAAGTGGTGACATTTTCCAAAAAGAAAGTTACTCTTTACCTGATTTATGTAACTGTAACCCCTCTATATATCATCTTTATAATAACAATAAAAATTAAAGAAAATAAATAAAACTTCTTAATTGGTAAAGTTTATTCTCAGGTTTCTCTTAGTGACTCCCTTCCCTAAATATCCACTGCCATGCCCTGTACTATATTGATATAGGATACTTGCTTACAATGCTCACTGTAAAAATAATCACCAACAAAAAGTAAATTGCTGTTCTTCATGTGGTTCACACATCAGAGTAACACTGTCCTCTCTTAACTCAGCAGAAATAATTTGGCCTAACCAACCTCTTATTTGATTTTAGAAGCAACTGAATTTATAACAAAACTACACCTAAGGGATTTAACAGCTGCCTTCAACTTACTGTTCTCTTAGCCTCTCCTTCCTTTCTAAACCCTGTTAAAATATTAGTTACACTATAAAATAATAAGAGTATAAAATATTCACTAAACAGCAGCATTGATAAGTCACATCACACTATAAAATGCTGGTACAGAGTTTACTTTGAATTACCAGTGTGTAATTTTGATTAAACTTTTAGTATTGAGATCACTGTAGATTCCTATGCAATCCTGAGAAGATACAGAAAAGATTCCATGAATTCCTTCTCCATTTGCCTTCAATGGAAGAATCCCTCAAGACTATATAACACAATATCACACCCAGAATGCTGACGGTGACATAATCAAGATATGGAATGTTGTACTACCACAAAGCTCCTTCAAGTTAGAAAGGCACAGTTTTCAAAAGAAATACAATCATCTTTAAAACGATAGGGATGTGGTCCACTGGGGCCAATCAGAGCTGGAAAAGCATTTTTAAAGTTACTTCCATTGAAGAATTAAACAATTCTCTAAGATATTGAAATTACTGTGTCTTAGAGATTAACAAGAAAGTGGGTCTTAAAAGATGGCTCTTAACTGAATTATATTGTAATAACTACATATATTATCATACTCAGCAAAGTAAAGAAAGGTCCGAGAAAATGCTTGTGCACTTTACACCACCACACATTTATGATCTTAGCAATAGTAATCACAGTATGAGTTTGAAGTCCCCAGAAACTGAAAAAGCTTAAATAAAAGGAAAGCAATTGATTGATACAAAGAAATTTGCACTAAAGTCCAAAATGAAATGTGAAGACTACAGGAAGGCCAGGTTCCTGCTTCAGTACTTCTATTAAAGGCAGTGAAGGATAGCAAATCAACCAAGCTTTATCTTAAATTTAAAAAAAGAAAAGCAAAGTTACAGATGAACAAATGCTTATTGAAATCTGCCTCCTAGTTATACTCATGGATATTGAAAGAGGCAAATGCCTCTTCTCTTAAGAATTTATGGTGGAGAAGAAGGCTTAAGTGTGATGAGTAAAATTTACTACCACACCAAATCAACACTGTCACCCATGTACAAGTACTGCATACAGCCACTTACCATGCTGACTCGATGCTTCCCCTACAGCCTTGTGATAATGATTAAGGAGCAATCACTTCCAGCTATACTTTATCTTAGGGCCCGGAAATGAGGCTACCTAAGGGCTGGAAAACTTTCTTCACTTAAAGCAATATAGTCTCTTTTCCATTTTTCTGCTCCCCTAGTTTCAAAATAGCTGTGTTGGGACTGAAGGAGCTGTGTTAAATTGTGTTCCAATTACAGATGAATTAATTGATAACAAATTTACTTGCAATATAAACCCATGTTGAAAATTACAAATAAGGGGCTGGGAATGTGGCTTAGTGGTAGAGTGCTTGCCTCACGTGCATGAAGCCCTGGGTTCAATTCCTCAGCACCACATAAACAGAAAAAGACAGAAGTGGTGCTGTGGTTCAAGTGGTAGAGTGCTAGTCTTGAGCACAGACAGAGGCTGGAGGATAGTACCTAGGCCCTGAGTTCAAGCTCCAGGACTGGCAAAGAAAATTACAAATGACTTTTTTCTTTTAAATTCTCCTCTTGCATTGAGAATTTAGCAAGGATTGAGGGATAGATAGAGCAAGTGGTTGAGCACTTACCTCTAATGTGTAAGGTTCTGAGTTCAATCCCCAGTTATTATTATTATTATTATTAATAACTTATTAGTCATGAGAGGACTGAGTATGAGTAAAATTTGCTGCAATAGTGAATCAGCTTTTTCTATTACATAAATATTTCACATACATATCTTCTTAAGATTCAAACAATCTTAAATACTGAAGAGAGAGCGAACCATGGAAGAATCTTCCTCACTTCCATCTTCCAATCATACACTTTATCCGCCATCACTTGCAAACACATGGAGATTTTTGAGTTTTGTTATTTATTTTCCTTTAAATTATTATATTGCTTAAGGGGAAACAAAGGAGGAGGCAACAATGCTTGATAAGAAATGTACTCATTATCTTGTTCATGTAATTGTAACCCCTCTGTACGATATTTTCACAATTAAAAATTTTTTTTTAAATTATTACATTGCTATACAACATACATGTCTCATGTGTTGCATTAAGATCACACAATGCATTTTAAACTATTTCTGCATATATGTCAAAGCTTCATTGATAGGCTGGGACATGGTCAATGATAAATAATAACCTGCTGAGCTGTTTAGCAAAGGTAGAGTAGGATTGTTTCACTTACTCTACTACAAACAAAGACATAAGGCTTTAGAATTATTTGCATCTCAATTTGTACTAGTATTGTTTATTATTTGATATCAGCCTACATGATTGGTGTCATTACATATATCAAAGAGTTTGTAAATAATCCTACAGGGGAAAAAAAAAATCTAAGGAAGTGGAAGTGTGGCCAGCCTTGAATGGAAAAAACTATCCAAGCATGCAAGACCCTGAGTTTAAGCCTCAGAGTCAGCACCAAAAAAAAAAAAAAAAGATTGTGGGTAGAGATGGGAGGGGAAAATTGGAAGAGAGTGAGGGAAGAAAAAGAAATATACTCATTACCTGATTTATGTAATGGTAATTCCTCTATACAACACCTTTAGAATAGAAGAAAGAAAAGGAACTCTAAAAGGAAATTTATAAATCTTTTTTTTTTTTAGGTTCAAAACCTGGACTTGAACTCAATACCTAATGCTTTTTTTTGCTCATTGGCTAGTGCTCTACCAACTGAGCCACTCATCCACCAATCAATCTATACTCATCAGTCTATAAACTGACAAAAAATGGGGTAACATCTGCAATCAAGTTATTAAGAATAACTTGCAGAGTCCTAGAGTTTGATTTTTACATACACATGTAAAAACTGAAATCTAAACAAGTTCCTCAAAGCTTGATCTAAAGAATATTTCGTGGAGCCAGATGGAGTTGAGAAAACAAGATTCAGTAAACCTCTGTCATAGGTTCAGGTTCATGGACAGAAGACAGTGAATTTAGAGGCAGGGACATTTAAACAAAATTGATTTCACCAGCTTTTTCCATGTCTTAAATAACTAGCCCCCAGTGTATAGTCCACAAAGCAGACTATTACTTACTACTTAAACTGTTTCTTTTATTCCCTGTTTCTTATGCTAGTCTTGAGCACAGAGCCTAGCCCATCATTGTAGAAATTTAGTAATATTGTGAATAGTTGAGTGAACTAAGTTCCCAAGTGAATGGAAATCAGAAAGGATATTTTGCATACAGCAGCAGTGTTTGGATTACTGAGAAATAATATCCCTTATTAAATCCCCACATTCACACCCTGGAGTATATGTCACTTTGATGGTGATTATTACAAGTTCTTAAAGGACTTCTTAGGTCACTAACACCATCAAAAGTCAGTTCCAGGATCTGAAGAACTGAAGATAAAACTCTGACTTCCAAGAATTTCACCTGTTTGTGTGGTTCCCATCCAAATATGTGTGCATCCTACAACACTATCTGAACACTATCTGGGTGGCATTTCTGTGATCTTATATTGAAATTGCTAAAAACAATAATTTATTCTGTAATTTTCTAGAAGGGATAGTGAGGTGGAATGGAGGCAGCTGTTAATATGACACCTTACTATCTTTATCACCTTGTCAAGACTAAAACATGTTTCTTTATGTCATAAAGATAATTCAAGTTCAATATCTCATTGTTTTAGTTATTAAATACAAGAAAGCAAAAATGAAAACGTTTTAAACACTCAAAACCTGACTACAGGTTTTAAGACACTAAACATTTTCCTCTGTGTCATTTCTCACAATTCATTACTAAACACACAGATTGTACCGCTATATTTCATATCTCTAGTTAAAATTACACACTTCACATTTTGTATTCTTACTGGCTGAAGATATTCTTTCTGGTGGATGAGCTGTAACTAGTTATTTCTCAATTGTTATTCATTTAGTCTGTGTTTTAATTTTTAATTATATTTAATTTTTAACAGTGTCACTAATAGCTTCAGGTATAGTTTTATTTCTTAGGATAAATTTCCAGAAATGCAATGAGTACCAAAAGAGAGAATATTAAAAGTCATTGACACAGATAATGCAATACTTACAATCAAAGCTTATGTTCATTTGCTCAACCATCATCTTAACTTGAGGAAGTCCCCTGTATTATGCTGTGCCTTTTCCTGGAGTCTTACAATCCAAGGACAAAGTAATTTTCGTTCTGTTTTGCTGGGGAAAGGCTATCTCCTGACTTACTGGAGCGCATTACAGGGTCTCCCTGGTTTCCTGGAGGGAGCCCCAGAAGCACAGTTGCATGACCTTTGGTGAGAGCAGTCTCCCCACATGCTAAGAGCTAATGACCTAAACTGCTTGCAATCCATTTTCGCTGTCCTGCAGTAAAAGTCCTAGTAAACAGTGACACGTCCTCGGCCTGGAGGTCTTCAGGGATTGATCACAATTAAACCCAAGCAGGCTTTCCCAACTCTGGACCGAGGCTCCCTCCCTTTTCCCGGGCGCCTGAACTCTGCCCACAGGGGTAGCCCAGAAGGGGGCGGGACTCCGTGTCTCCCAGCAACCGCCTCTTGCTCCCTGATTGGCTGGACGCCGCACAGCCGCCATTTTCAAATCCCCGGATGATGGTGGCGAAGGCGGGTCTGTGCTAGCCGGCGCTCACTGCCTGGCCGAAGCCGGTGGGCACCGTGCCCGTTCCTGTCGGTCTCCCGGGTGCCCGGGCACCCGGCCACCGCCCCAGCCCCTCCCCCACGGTATGGAGCCAGGGCTGGCGGCTCAGAAGCCGCCGCGGAGGCGAAGCCGCCGGGCCTCCGGACTCCCTAAGGATGGCGCCGAGGGTCCCGCGGTGGACGCCTCCGGGCCGGGGCCGGAGGGGAGGTGAGTCCGGGGGTCAGGGGGCGGAGGTCAGAGGGCGGAGGTCAGGGTGCGGGCCAGGAGGGGGAAGGGGGCGCCCCGGAAGTGACGGACAGGCCGGAGCGCCCCGAGCTGACACCCCCTCCCCCCCACACA